GAAAGAAAGAAGAGGAAGGAAGGAAGGAGAAAGAAGAAAGAGTGAAAGAAAGAAAGAAGAGGAAGGAAGGAAGGAAGGAAGGAAGGAAGGAAGGAAGGGGAAGAGAGCGTCCCTCCCGCCTTACCTGTCCAGGTCTCGCAGCCGGCTGGCCTCGTCCTCCAGGTAAGAGCGCAGGTGGCGCAGCAGCTCCCGTTCCGTGCCCAGCGCCCGCCGGATGCTGAGCATGGAGCTGAAGGTCTCGCCCGGCGCCCCGCACAGCCCGCCGAAGCCGCCCAGCCCCGCCAGCAGGAGCAACAGCAGCCGCCGCCGCAGCATCGCGCCTTCTGCCGCCCGGGAAGGAGGAGGAGGAGGAGGCGGCGGCGGCGAATGGGAAGCAGATGGGGAAGCCGGGCGGGGATGGGGCGCTGGAGGGAAATGCGCTCGCTTGGATCGGGATAGGATCCGGCTGGAAAGGTGGGCAGGCGGAGAAGGTCGGGGGGGACCTGCGGGGCTTTTGCAGAGGCGGGGTTGACAGCAGACGCATTTGGGGAGCCCCTGAGACCCCCCCCCCAGGTTCAAGTTCATGCAAAATATGCGAAGGGGGAGGGGTCCGCCTGACATGTGATGTGGGAGGGGGGCTCCTGCACGCTGTAGTAGCCGAAGGCAACCTTGAGGATAAATCTAGCAAGCTGTTAACAGGACAATCGAGAGCATCCAAACGGGCCAGGGTAAAATCACCCCCCCAGGATCTGAAAATGCTGCCCCCTTAACCGGTCAGTCACTATTGGCCTCTTTTCGGGGCTAACGGCCCCTCCTCCTGTTTCCCCCCATAACAACCACCCTGTGATGTGGGTTCAGCTGAGAGAGAATCAGCTGTCATGCCTAAGGCAGGACTAGAACTCACCGTCTCCTGGTGATTGGCCCAAAATCACCCAACGGACTTTCATGCCTAAGGCAGGACTAGAACTCACCATCTCCTGGTGATTGGAAGGACTAGAACTCACTGTCTTCTGGTGATTGGTCCAAAGTCATCCAGCCAGCTTTCATGCCTAAGGCGGGACTAGAACTCCCCATCTCCTGGTGTTTGATTCAAAGTCACCCAGCCATCTTTCATGCCTAAGGCGGAACTAGAACTCACCATCTCCTGGTGTTTGATTCAAAGTCACCCAGCCATCTTTCATGCCTAAGGCGGAACTAGAACTCACCATCTCCTGGTGTTTGATTCAAAGTCACCCAGCCATCTTTCATGCCTAAGGCGGAACTANAGATAGATAGATAGATAGACAGACAGACAGACAGACAGACAGACAGACAGACAGACAGACAGACACAAACAGGATGGATGGATGGATGGACAGACAGACAGAGCGATCAACCATAGAAACACCATAGATAGATAGATGATAGATGGCTGGTAGATACAGATAGCTTCAGATACAGAGATATAAATGAAGATAGAGAAATATAAATAGAAATATAGATAAATATGAGGGGGGCAGAAAATTTGGAGATATAGATAGCAGGTGTTAGATGATGGATGGATGGATGGATGGATGGATGGATGGATGGATGGATGGATGGATGGATGGATGGATAGATGACATAGAAATACAGATAGAAATATAGAGAAATATAGCTATAGATAGAAATATAAATGAGAGACATTAAATGACATGGTAGACCTAGACAGATAAGACAGACAGACGGACGTTTCCCCCCTGCAATGACAAATTCATGGCGCCTTACAAAGCCTCATTCACAGCCAGATCACGTCCTTGTGGTCACTCTTGGAAAAGCACATTGGGAACAAGGCGCCACCAGTGCTCTTCAGCCAGGAAGGCGAGATATTTCCTTAAGCATAGTAAAAGTAATACGGGAGTGAGTGTTGCATTCCGTGAGTTCATTCTGCCCACTGTCAGCATACAGTATTGTCTTTCTTTGCTTCACTCGGCTCTTTTAAAATTTTGCTGATCATTGAGCGGATAAATATTATTAACTGATTCTTTTGAAGAACATTTTCATCAAGTGCTGCAAGGGAGTGAACAAGAGAGCTGTATAAAAATGTCTGGTGTACATTTCGGCTGCACTTCAGATCTCATTTGGATGCTGCAAACATTTTTTTCCAGATTTGAAGGACTGGAGAAGCTGGGACAAACAAAGAGAGTCCCTTGGGTGTCCTGGTGTGTTTGCTTTTGAAAGTGGGGGAAAAAAACTATATATTGTTTTTGGTACTGTTGTAGGGGAAAGCCTTTTATAGAAGCTTCCAGCCTATATAAATTAGTTATACAGAAATGTAAAGCCATAATACTAAAATGAATAATTAAGAACCAGCAATAATCATGTTATAAACCTTATGAAAATAGCTATATTCCAGTAGAAGCTTTAAAAACCCAACAGATAATGAAAGCTGAAGTCACATCCCACAGGTCGGTAATGTTTTAGGAGACAAACAGAATCAGATGGCTAAACACTGATGGCGAAGCCAGGTCAAAAACAATCTCCAAACTTAAGTTTTTGGAGGAAATTCAAGTACTTGGAGTAGCAATACGAGTAAGAACGAAAAGCAGGGCTCGTTCGAATTCATGATAGCATTCTAGTTCACCCTATTGATTAAGAAGAGGTTTTGTAGTTCAGGGTTGAAATGAGGGCTCCTTGGTGCTCTCTGAACTTGGTTGTTTTCTTGCAGACCTTTCATTGCCCAACTAGGTAACATCATCAGTGCTAGAAGGAAGTGGGGTTAGCAGGGAGGAGGAGGAGGAGGTTCATATCTTCCAAATTTTTGGTCCACATTGTTGAACAAGGTTGGATAACAGGTGATGAACTGTTCCAAACCAAAGAACTATCAAATTTATCTTATCAAATATAGCTTGATTAGCTTAGCTGTCATGGAATATGAAAGATATTTCTAACAGTCACCTGAATGTGAATGCTAATCTTATTTCTGCCCCACCCTGAAATATACTAAATCAGAATTACAGAGTTGGAAGGGACTAGGGGTGTGTTCCAGTTCACCAGTACTACCGGTTCACTCATGGCCATGTGCCATGCGCACACTTGATGTGTGCACTTTGTGCACTTGATGCCCGCTTCACGTACTATGGTATCGCCCGGAGAACCAGTTCGGGGGTGTGGCAGGCCTGGGTCACTGTTGGTTCCAGCAACCCAGAACGCCAAACCACTATTGGCTCAGCCATACTGGGCCGAACCCACCCGTGGAAGGGACCTTCGAGGTCCAATCCCCCCTCACCCCCCCGCTCAAGTAGGAGGCCTTATACCATACTGGACAAATGGTTGCCCGATCTCTTCTTAAAAACCTCCAGGGATGAAGCACCTACAACTTCTGGTGGCAAGTGGTTCCACTGGTTAATTGTCCTCACTGTCAGGAAATTCCTCCTTAGTTCTAGCTTGCTTCTCTCCTTGATTTGTTTCCACTCATTGCTTCTCGTCCTGCCTTCTGGTGCTTCGAAGAATAGGTGGGCCTTCCCTCCTCTTTGTGGGAATCCCTCAAATATTCGAACACTGCTATTATATCACCCCCAGAGTCCTTCTTTTCATTGAACTTGAGATACCCAATTTAAATTTATATCAGTGGCAGCCAACCTTTCCAGTTCTGTGTGACAGTGGCAGGGAAGGGTAGGGGGGAGGAGTCAGTTACACACACACACACACACACACACAGACATCACTTATGTGGTCTAGTTCCCAATGGGTTGTGGCTTGGCATCAGGCCATGGACCAGTGGTTCGGGACCTCTGATCTAGACCAGTGGTCCCCAACCCCCGGTCCGCGGACCGGTGCCGGGCCATGGAGTACCTGGCACCGGGCCGCGCAGCGGCCGGGGGCCATGATTGCTGCAGCGGCCGGGGGACGTGATCGCTGCAGCGGCCGGGGGACG